GTGCCTCGACCTCCCAGTCGGCTTCGAGCTGGCGGCCTCCGAAAAATGCGGCTAAAACTTTTGCAAAACAAACTCGGGATCTCGCAAAAGTTTTGCGAGATCCCGAGTTTGTTTTGCGAGATCTCGCAAAAGTCCGACTTAATTTTTTTTTTCTCCCATGTCCCCTGCCGGGCTCCGTAGCTTATAGACAAAGAAAGTTAGAAAAAAGAATAGCTCTGCACGTGAGCAGAATAGCTAAACCCTCTGTTTATGAGGGGCAACCAGTCAAAGGAAAGTTAGCCTAAAGGGGAGTGGCCTTTAAGGAGATGTTTTGACTTGTTTTAGACAGGAAGCAAAGGGCTTCACAACAATCAAGTATAAGAAAACAAGTATTATTCTGAAGTCTGATTCATGCAGAGCAACTTCAGTCGAGTCAAAAATAAAAATTTGAGTATGAAATGAGCACATATGGTCCCCTTTAAAGAGTTGCTGAGGTAGCTGCATTGAAGTCCATATAGCCAACCTGCGCTTGCTCCTAATTTTAAAATAAAAACTTGAAAAGACTTTTATCTGACCTTAAACAAATGACTTTATAATCAGATTTGAACGTAAAGTAAGAAAAACATAACGAGAGGGAAAGCACTTAACTTCGATCAAGATCTACTATTGAGGTTGTTGCGTTTATGAGAAATGTGTTGCATTGATTTTTACAGTATTTGCGTCTGGTTTCAGTCACACCTGTGCTCTATTTGCATCCAGAGAACCTGTTTAAAGACTGTTTGATGACACTCTAATGTCTGTCTGACCCCGTCCTCCTCTTATTTTTGCTGTAGCTCAGGGAAACTGTTGGATGTGGATGACCACTACTACCCAGCCCTCTCTACCAGCCGTTCTGAACCCTCCATGTCCAAAGAGAACACATCATCCATGCCTGAGAGGAAGCAATCTATAGGGAGGAGGCGGTCAATGGAAAGGAGGCGGTCCGTAGAGAGGAAGCAGTCCATGGACAGGAGACGATCTATGGATAGAAGGCAGTTTGGGGACAGGAGGCAGTCTGTAGAGCAGAGACTGACTGCTCCCAGTCGACAGATCCGAGAGAGGGCCGCCACTGAACCGGAGCGTCCCAAATCTGCCAAAGAAAACAGGTGTGTCTTTTTAGTCCTCTTCATAGTGTCTCTGGCAATAAGTACATGTCCTATAAAGTGTCCCTGTATTTTTGTGAAACTGTGCATGACTGCATCAATTACTTGTTTCTGCTTTTTTAATAATAACAACTGTAGACCTCCAGCTAGGTGTCAGCTGCAACATGAACCAACCCCATTCAAAGCACCTGAGAGATAACTTTCAGCTATGTTGTAATCAGCACCATCAATAAGCTTCAACAAGGTGGAACCACTTTTAAGCTGGAAATCAGTTTCCACTTTTTATGATGCCATTTTAATCTTTGTCAATACCAACCACGAGGTCCCATTATGACATTTTTGGGATTGTTTTTCCAACCATCTCGTCATCATTTCCATCGACTTGCATTATGTGAAACAGATGAAAGATAGGTAATAGCCTTCAGGATTTTTGTCCAGCTGACCGCTTTGTTACCGTCTGCACGTACAATTTATTCCAGTCCAGCTTTACTGATTCACAAATATAGTCACAAGTTACATTATTAATGTTTGCTAACTGAATTTGTTACGTTTCTACTTCAGCATAATAATGCTACTACTGTTGCTACTGTTTAAAAATAAATGTAATCTCAGTGAATTTGGATGATTTGTAAAGTCATACCTTAGTTTACAGAAAGAGGGAAAAGCATTATCTACATAACCATAATAAGACAAAGCTATACAGGCTGTATATGAAAGATGGACGTTCTCACCATGATATCACCCACTGAAGCCACTTCTGAAGCATTTTGGCTCCATCTTGGATTTAAGAGACAGATCTGATCGTATTTTAATGAGGCTGGAGTGCTAAGCTAGCAGCTAATGTTGGCTAGCTGGTAAGGCTATAGTTACAGTAAGGACAATTGTGGTTAGAGACCATGGCATGCTACAATTTTATTGCAACTGTGTACAGTAAACTTTGTAGTTTTGAAAGTCTTCACAGCAAGTCTATGAAAACTCAGTCAATTGTTTTCTTCAAAGTGACTTTGCTGCTTTACAGTTGGTAATAAAATGGCAATAAGATGAAGTCAGTCTGCTGAATAAGGTCAAGTAAATGATTACATGCAGTGTGTTTATGATAATAAGGAAAATTGCTGTCATTCGTTGCTAATCTGTTGCAGTCTACACATTCAACAGACGTTCGCATAAATTACTTATATTCATAGTCCAGTCAGAACCTCACAGATATAAGACAGAAATTCTGAAATTCCTTCACAAATAGTGATGTAGTTGTCTCTTGTCTTTAATTCTAACGTTGTGCTTGATTGTATAGGCACAGTGCACAGATATCAACTAATTAGCGCTTTGTAACATACAAATAAAATACCAGACTTTAACTCATCACAAGCGTAGACTTGGAGAGTTTGTATCACTTAGTTGGTCAAATAATTTCATCATAAAGCTACAAAAGGCAGAAACACCACAAACACAGTCAAGACTTCCAGTTCAGTGACTTTAATTAGCTGAGGTGAAGCCTAGCAGACAGATTAGCAGCCTAGCCTGCATCCACCTGTCACTCAAACCAGTCTCACCCATAATAATGCATAATTTTAAGCCTTGACTAAATTTAAATTGCTGATGATTCATAATAAAAATTTCACTCCACAATAAAGTTTTTGTGAAGAGGTAAATTATCTGCAGAGCTAACAACTGGGCTGTAAACATGTTTATTTTTACAGAAAGTTGTTCAGTTTAACATGAACTTACTGCAGTCTGCCTCAAGTGGCTGTTTGAGGAACTGCAGCTTCTGGCACTTCAACTTTCTTTTATTTTTCAGTGCTATTCAGCTGCCTGTCACTAAAAGATATTATTAAAGATTCTTCAGATCAGGACTACAAAATCAGCTACTTGATTTGTAGTTTTAGTCTGGCCACATCCTTACTCCATAATAGGACTTGTGAGGTACCAGCACCTCTGTTTATGAGTCCGGTTTTTGAATTTTAGTTTTTACTTGCTCGAAGGATAAATTCATGTATGAATTTAATCTATTTTCCCTTCAGCTTAGCCGCTCCCTTGGACAGCTCATGATAAATGGCCCAAATATGATAACCAGTATGAAAACCTTGAACCCTGAACATGAATCTTTTCATCTCCTTTCCATTTAATTTTGTTTGTTTTGTTTACATCCCCACGTCCTACCTTGTGTTCAACATTTCTGTTTTTATCTATTTGTGCTGAAATTTGTCTCATTTGTGTAATCGACAGACGCTCTGTTCCCAGAATGGCCTCCACGGAGAGCCGGACTGAAGAGAATCCATACGACTTCAGACATCTACTGAGGAAGACCTCGCAGAGACAAAGGCTGATCAAACATTACTGAATACAGGAAGTGACTTTTGGCTATTCAGGACTTGATCGGTCGGGATCACTGATCGCACCATGTGGCAGTTTGTTCTGGTGTCCTGCTAACAGCAGCACATGTTTCATTTATTTTATTGATCTTCAGACACATTGTATAACAGTTTGGGTAGGAAATGAAACTCCTCTGGACTTAACTGGACAGACTGTATTGATTTCCATGCATACAGTGAACACAGAGTACAGTCAATGTAAATAACAAGATGTCATACTTTTAAACTTGCTGTAAAATAAGGTTTTATTTATGAGACCAACAGTCTAGTTACTGGTATTCTGTATTTCCAATGTTTTTTCTTCGATATCTTTATTTTCTTTCAAAAAATTTGCAGGTTGTGCTCTTAAAACTTTGCATTTCAAGTCATTCCGAAGTCTAATCAGCTTCATATTGTGAAGAATTTACATTATTTTATCTGCTCAAATGTTCAGTTTGTTCACTTAAACAAAAAAATATATTAAATTCCTCGTCCCATTTCATTATTTCCAGTTCGCTGCTCTCAAATTAGCCGAAATCGCAAGCTTGTCATAACCGTGCAAAATGAATAACGTAGAAGGAAAAATGCAAAGACATTTAGTGTTTCATTGCCTGTGTATATAAAGTACATCAATTCCTCACATTATCCCCCATCCCGCGTTATTGTTGCTTTGTGCGCAATAATCACTACATTTGAAATAGCATTCACTCAAATGACAGCCTTTGATTCTTGTGAATATTTGGTGGAAAAGTAAAAAGGACAGAATGTTTTTTATTTATGTATTTATTTGAATCTTGATGCCAGATTCAACCTCTGACCTTTATGTGACATTTTTGAAAGAGAAGCCCCCCTTGGGGGCTGTTAGTGAATCCCCAGCTACATGTTGACTACACACAGTGGCACAAAAACACGTAGAGCTGAAGAAATCCTGACAAAATGCAGACTAGTGGAGAAAAACTGTTACAGCTTCCTCCACACACAGGATTCACAGACGAATGATTTAAAATAAAGAAATATTACAAAATGTTACACCAAGTTTGAACAAAGAAAAAAACTCAGAAATGACACAATAGAGTGATCTCATAATATATATATATATATATATATATACACACACACACACACACACATTTTAAAGGGTTCAGTTTATGTTAATGAGTCGTTTTGGGTATCAGATAACTGTTGACCAGTGCATTTATAAATCATGATTTATAAATTCATAAATCAGATGAGGCTCAGTGTCGCTTTGATGGCTGCAGGGTTAATTTACACTAATTCGTGGAGACACAGAAGGTGACAGTGTTGGACTTCCACGTGGTGATTTGTAACTAGATATTGTAAGTAAAATAAAATGTTATTTCTGTAGCACCTTTGCAGACAAACACACACTGCTTCACAACACAATACCAGAGCAAAGAAAAACAGAGTTAATGTTGTTTTTAACTATTCCCATTTGGTTTCCTCCTCGTATCCGGATATTGTGACGCAGTTAAACTACAGACTTACCGGCTTAACTTTATTTTGGATGGGGTGGGTGGAGGGGGGGGTCTTAAAATAAGAGGAAAAAAACACTTTGTGAGTAAAGAAAGTAAAGCAAGCCCCTCTCTCAGTAATAAATATTTTCGGAGTAACGCGCCCCTGGAGTGAGCGGAAAGAGGAGGGACCCACGAGCACTCTGTGCATTTGAACCGAGTCCCCTCTCCGCCCCGCTGTCTCCTCCACCGGAGGCGGGCAATTAGAGGTCTGAAGAAATAGGTCTGCGATTGCTGGGCAGATGAATTAGTTGGCGTTCAGTGTCTGTATGGAGGGTAAGTTCTGTGCGCAGGGGGCCAAAAATGTCGGGGATGTATGGAGTCACGACGCACGACGCAGCGCGGCTCGTCATGACCTGAAGTGAATCACCACGGGATTGCTTTAGTGACGTGAAATTTAGGTTGGCTGCAATTAGGCATGGCTTGTGCGCCGCATATTTACCAGCAGCTGTAGCCATAGCTGCTTTTTTCCCCCCTCCACCATTTTCATCACCATTTTCTTTTTGCTTATTGTTTTTCTCTGAGTCATTTTTATAAAATGTAGCAGCTTTGCATCAAAAGACATTTCACTACATCCGGAACTTGCGCAAACTATCTTGCGCTGTATTGCATTTTCCCCCCTATTAAGTAAAGAGCGTGGCTGCTCTGCGCCGGTCAAGTGTTTGCGGATTTTTTTCTGAACACGGCGCTTCATGCTTCGTGCACCTGTGGACGCCTGCAAAGGAGGAAGCGAGGACGCCTTTTGTGATTTCTTTTATTTTTTTTACCCACCCCACGCTCACACACGCACATACGAGGGTCGGTTTATTTGTAGTGTCTTTCCAGCAAATTAAAGCGTCTGTCGGATGCACGGCTGTATTTCAAGCAGTCTGAAAGGTCTGGTCAGATTCAGCACCACATCGGCTCTGAACAGCTCCCGGTCGTCGCGTGTGGATGGGCTCTGTCGGTCTCCGCGCCTCCTGCAGCTCCTAACTACCGGCAACAATGGCATCACACGGGTTCTGGTCTCTTGGCGGAGATAATGCGGGGGCCAATACCGGGAGTCAGAGCCCGAGTACGCGTGAGTGGCTTTTTGTCTTCAAACCACCTCCTGATGGACCGGGCGCAGTAATTCCTGAGCGTTGTCTCAAGCCAGTGCCCTGCATTCACCGAACCACCAGACAGGCCTTATAATAGGCAACAATCCTGCTTTCTTTTTTTCTTTTTGCTTCTTTTTTTCTTCTTTTTCTCCACATGAGACATTTTTTTCGTGTATCTAAAGAGCTGTTTTATTCCAAGTTGCATGGCGCCTTTTGTGTTTCCCTAAACTTGGACTGAAGCTGAAGCCAACACATCCCTTATCTCATTTATCCCACTTCTCTCTTTCAGCCAGGGCTTGGTGCCAAGCAGCGGCCCAGAAATTATCCGGAGGAATTGGATCGAAATTATGTGGTATGTTGGGGAAGGAGCGGGGGGTGGGGGTGGAGACGGAGGGGAAGCTATTTTTAGGCAAACGTGCCAGCTATTTCCATCATAACTGTCTGGCACTAGAGTAATAAAAAAATATATTTCGATGCTCTTTTTTGTGGGTTTCCAAAGCGCTGCTAAATGTCGGGGAGGTGGAGAAACCCGCCGAGCCGGGCGCCAAGCAGCCGCCCCAGACGGATGCAGGAACCTGCGGCTGCAACAAATCCTGCAACTGCACCAAAGCTGCTGTGGGCTTCTCCGACCTCTATTCAACAGGTACTAAAGTGCACTATGAAGCTGGATTAATTTTAAGATTTATTTTCTTCCCCGAGTCCAGACTTAGCTTTGCATTGAGCAGTTTTCATTGTGCGAAGTAGGCTAGAAAATAGCCATTGTTTATATGCAATATTTGTATATAATCATCTTAACTATAAAAGGAAATAATCTCAAAATGCGTATCAAATATTTGCATCTGATCGCACAAACTCCTGAGAAATGAAGTAATCCGCTTTAATCTCAATTTATAAAATAACACATTGTGTATTGGATGAATAGTTTTGTGCATCATTTTCATTTTTACCACATTCTGAAAGAGGAGTTATGTTGGTCTGTTCTCCTCAGAGAGGGGCTATTTCCGAGAGGTCACCTTCACCAGAATCGTGTGTTTTGAGGCGTTGAGCGCAAAACACGAGATTTTCGTATAAAGCAGAATCAGTGTTCGGACGTGGAAACAATATAAAATATTTATTTGTTTGTATGGAGGAAAAATTCAAAGACAAAAATATAAATAAAACTTTGACTCGTGTAAATATGAATCTTAATATTGCGTGGGAGCATTTTTTGCACACATTCCTCCGTCCTCAAATAAAAATCACAAAATGTCTCCACTGTAATCCACCCCCCCTCTCGCAGACCTGTTACCGGCCACGGACGGTGACACCAAAACGATGACCTTCCTGCAGGAAGTTGTGGACATTTTACTGGCCTACATAGTGGAGTCTTTCGACCGGGAAACGAAAGTTATTGATTTTCATTATCCGAACGAGCTGCTTCAGATGAACAACTGGGAGCTGCAGGACGAACCTGCGACTCTGGACGACATCTTGATCAGCTGTCGCGCTACATTGAAATACGCCATCAAAACAGGTAGGCCTGGGTCTGATTTTATTGCACGCATGCAAAACAATAAATTCACTTTTTAATACACATATATGTTTATTTTAAAAAAAAATAGATGCTTCGGAGTGTTGGAAAAAATTTCCCCCCAGGCTGTATCATCACACGCAGGCCTGAATCAAGGCCTTTCGCTCATCTTTGTGTGAAATCTGCCAAAATTCCAATATTCACGCATATAAATGGCAAATCAAAAACACGTTTTAACAATAAAATAAAAAGAAAAGCTATATAAATTACAGAGAGCCACTGTGACAATTATGTTACACCCTACAAATTATTTAAAACTCGAGTTACTGCAAAACTAAACTGGAAACACGAAAGCGGTAAGCTTAAAAAAACCGACCCGGAAAGAGAGAGGCAAACAAAGAAAACGTCTTTAACGTGTTCCGGGTTTAATAAATAAATAAATAAAATGATAAATGATGCCTATAAAGCATCGACACAGTTGTCCTCCTTTTCCTCCTCCTGACCACCAGACCGATAAATGCAGTGACGCAGTAAATCTGGTTCACCAAGTAGGAGATAATAGGCTAATAACCAGGCTTCATAGGCCAAGTCCATTATTCTCCCCTGAGTGACACACGCAGGGGGGAATTTACAGCAACGCCACAGGACAGATTTCAACCTCCAAAAAAAAAGAAAGAGAAAAACTGAAAAAATAGTTTATGATGGCGATGAATATTTAACAACCTTAAAAACAATTAAAATCACACTGTAATGCGGGTATAAGCAAAGATGTGAGGATTTCAATCATTTATTGTAATCATTTATCAGCAATTTTCCTCTGCTACAAGAAAAATGTTTATTATTATTATTTAAGAATTATATGGTGTTGAGAAGGACTTGCACCAGATTTATAAGTACAGTTATATCTTCCTTCCTTCCTTTGTTTTTTTTTCTTTCTTTTTTTTTGCTTGATCACCCCCATAAATAACTTTAGTTTTTACGCCCGTGTTTATGACGCACACTGAGATCTGATCACGTGTCAGTGCTGCAACATGGTTTGTGTGTTTACCTTTTACATTACACCAAACGTTTTCATCATTTGGTGTTTTCATTCAGGTGTTTGTTTTTTTTAAGTTGACTCTGCAGCTACAATTCTAACCCGCAATTAAAGCGCTCAGGAGATGACAGCTTCTGCTCGCTACGGAAAACCTTAAAATTGCAGCCATCTCACACTCCTCCTCTTTGCCTTCTCCATCCTCTGCTCCTTTCCCTTCAGCCCACCCCAGGTACTTCAATCAGCTCTCCACGGGATTAGACATGGTCGGACTTGCAGCCGATTGGCTAACATCCACCGCCAACACCAATATGTAAGTATGTGGCCTGCTTCATCGCGATTTTAAGCGGTGATAACGATAATGACAATGGATTCCATTTCCGGACCATCCGCGTGCAGTCTGCTCTGCGTCTGCATGGCCTGATAGCGCCCCCCCCACACACACACACTCAGTCATGGCAAATGAAAAGGGGTGAAATGAAAGGCAGGCCCCCACCCCTCAGCCCCCTCTTGCACCCACAAGGCTCCCCCCTCTCCCCCCTCAGCCTTTTATCCCTCCCCTTCACCTCTGATCCTCCTGGGGATTCAAGAGGAGAAAATTAGCTCTGAAATTAAATTCAGACTAATCTGGAGCTAATTTCACATGTGTGTTTTGGGGGAGATAAACTCTTTTGGCAACTGTGAGGAAATGAAAAGTAAACCTGCTGTTTACAGTGGAGGGAGGTTCGAATGAATACAGCCAGTATCTTAATACAAAATATATATTTATAAATATATATAGAAATATTAGGGAGCACACAATGGAGATGCAAGTTTTAAATAGGAGCAGGATGATGAAAATGTGGGAGTTCAAAATATTAAAGGAGTGCATTTTGTCAGTAAAATTGTGGGTGTTTGGCTTGAAAAAAATATTTTCATATGCATTTAAGTGTTTCTATATAAATGGAAAAAACTTGAGAATGCATCAGAGCTGTTAAAATGTGTACACACGATTGACAGTAATCCTGCACTTCTTCAAAAGTGAAGCCAGAAACCTCCAGAAAACCTCAGAATCTGAGCATTTTTTAAATGCACCTCCACACAGGCCAACGACAACCCTCCTTTCCTGAAACGTCCAAACTTCAGATTTTTAAAAAA